CCCCTGCTGCACTCTGGGAGCTCTTCTCCTTGGCTGTGTGCACACATCGCAGCTCACAACCCTGCCGGGTACCGTCGTCTGTAGCCCGCTGACCCCGCGCACTGTTTACCCTGCTGAAGTGACTCCAGCAGTGCCGTTTGTATTTCTATTTGCTTCCCTGCCGTTATTTTCTGATGACCCACTTTCAAACCAGGGGTTCATCTCTGGGAGCTTGGAACAGATTACACCACCAACAAAAGGGAGAGCGAGCACAAATGTTTGCCAGCATAAACAATAACCCGCTAATTGATTTAACCGCGTAACCCAGGAATAAGGGCACCCATTCATTTCTGCTCACGGCGGTCAGCCCAGGCTCATAGTTCCTGCCCAACAAGAGCGTCGGGATTGGTAAACCACGATACAGTCCCCAGGCAACGCGGGGAAACACTGTTCTCCCCTAGTTTATCTGTCCCTGTAGTGCGCTGAGTATGGATCTACGGGGGCTGGGGGTGACTGTGTCCAGCTTCCCGAGACTGGCAGTTCTGCAGCCAGTGGTCCACGCCCAGCCCCTGCAGAGGCGGCAGGCTGCCATGTAGACAGCAGCACGACAGCCCAGCTGCACGGGTGATCCGAGAGCCTGAGTTCAGGGCCGTTTCCTCCGCTGTACCCCGGGAGCAATGCTCACTTCATGCTCAGGAGGAGAGCAGATCGCTGGCTCGGAGCTCCCCACACATAGTGAGGCTGTGCCTTTGGTGACTGTGCTCACCCACAGTTACATAGTCCTGTGCCTTGTCAGTATTAATCCCCAGAGAGCCATCTCGCCACACTTGTCAGGCAGGATCCAGGCTGAAGAGCATCCCTCTCCCCCGGAAAGCAGCCAGTCAGGAGTCAGAGCACCGGGCTGCACTCGAACCCACCCCAGCAAGGGACGCAGCATGCAGCCAGGCGTCCTTTCCCAGCCCCAAAGGCAACTTGCTGTACGCACAGATGAAAGCGATCCCTGACAGCTGTTTTTGGCTGGGAGTGTGTTTCTTCTGGTTAAATATTCACCGTGTGTTTTTATTCATTATTCACAAGGCACAAAGGGCCCAGCAGATCTCAGTGTCCTGGGCAAGATCGGCTCTGCACCTTCCTCCACTCCCACAGCCTCGACCACAGAGAGCCCGCCACCTCCCGCCAGCCCATTTTCTCCTCTGTGGTCACCGCCACCTCTCACTGTTGGGTGCCCTGGCCTGATGAGGGTGCACCCACCCCAGCTCCAATCCTGCCCCGGGGTCTTGGCTCTTTCCCAAATCACAGCAAAGCTCAGGGCTTCTGTCCCAGGAAAACCAGATCTTCACGCTGCACCCCTCTGCTTATATTAAATAACTGACCTTTAAAACTATACCCAGAAAACAGATTGCCTAATAAAATAAATTATCTCACACCTGGTGATGCCTGAAATCCTCTGGAACCACAAAGGGGCTAATGAAGCGTGAAGGAGATACCTAATGAAGGGACCCTCTTAATAACCAACAATGGTGGTCTGGGGATTTAGCTCAGCAGCATAAGCGCCTGCCTTGCAAGCAGGCAGTTGTGAGTTCGATCCCCAGTACCGGTTAAAAAAAAAAAAAATCGGCCGAGCCTGCACCACCCGGCCACCCAGGGAGAGGAAGTCACTCGTCCTCCAGCTTCAGTGCAGACAGGACAGAAGCCCATGCACACTGGACACACGTGGCCACCCACCAGGGACAGTTTCTGATGGCTCGGGAAGACTGTCAGCCGCAAGGGCTGTCCGTGCATCTCCCAGCCTGTCCTGAGCACCCCGACCCTCCATCGGCCATGGCATTGGACATGCACCTCACAGGACATCTGGGCAGTAGCATGCAAAGCAGGTTCCCTCCCAGCGACCCACCACCCCTCCCCCCGGTACCCTCCTCACACCTCACTTCCATGCCTCAGTTCCCCCCAAGTCTTGCTAGACAGAAGCAGGGGCCAGCTCTGTAAGGTGTTGAACTCTGTCCTCTAGAAGAGGCATGGGATTCCTGGGCCCACCCATGCGTGACCTTTGGAAGCAGGGTCTTTGCAGGCTCCGCGCCTGTTCAGGTTTCTGTCCTGCCTGGGGCTGGGCAGTAAAGGGTCACAGCTCACACTGGTTACAGTACTCAGGTCACACCGAGAATGTGCCCATACACACGGAGGGGACATAGTGACCAGGCCCTGCCTCCGCCCAACACCAGCACAAAAGGGGATCAAAGCACACCCCATCACGCCCGTCCCTTCCCTCCCACACTGAAAAACATACTTATGCTTATCAGGCCCGCGAGCTTGAACACGGCACCCCTGTGCATGCCTGGGTCAGGGCTGGTTCTGCGACCCACGAAGTTTAGTCCATAAATGAGGCACCAGAGAAGACTAACAGCCAGCCGTGCAGCAGACCCACTACAGCGCCGATACCATTTACCGTCACTACTCTTGGGCTTGGGGACCATTCACTTAGGTGACAGCCAAGAGGACCACCCATCCCAGGCAACCTAGACAGCTCCCAGCCAGCCGGGACACAGCGGCGGCTCACAGCTGGGGGACCCGGCGGGCAGAGGGCTTCCCTCCAGTCTCAGAAGCCAGCACAGTCTGTAATGTGTCCGCTCCTCACATCTGGAATTTTCAGGTTCATAGATTTGGGCCGAAGTCTGCCGTGGGTAACAGAAACTGCGAACAGGCGCGGTGTCTGTAGAGTCAGCAGGCTGGGCGAGGGACACGGGATGTGGGACGTGGACCCGTTCCACGGCTGGGAAGCAAATCGCTCAGACCTGGCCCCAGGACGATGACCCCAGCACTCAGCGGAGCGTCACCACCCAGGAGAGCCTGCGATGTGCATGGGGCGTGTCGGCGCCGAGCCCGTAACTCATGTTCGGTGGGCAAATTATGTTCCTTTGGAGGCATTAAGGGTAAATAAAGGCTTAATGAATCAAGTCTTCTGAATCGCTATCGCGCCTTTAATTTGTAGTTTACAAGGTTCTTGTAAATTAAAAATGGGAAAAGAAATCCCTTCCCATCCCGCGTGTACCTCCTCCGGGTAGGAACAATTTGGTTGTTTTGATTTTTGTGTCCCTAAAGCCCTTATCTCTTTGAAAAATGATTCCTTAATTTTTACGAGGCTGCTGGTAGGACGGGTGAGGCTGAACGATTGTTCTGTATCCCGTTCGCGTCTCCTCCGAGTTCACCGAGAGTGGTTATTGGTCCCCGGGTGGGAAATAAAGGTGGATGTACTCACTTCTAATTTACTGTTTGCAATAAGCAGGGCTTTATCAACATCCCCCCAATAAATTATTGTTATTGCCAGCCTCCTGTCGCTAGGAGCAGTGGCCCTGAAAGTGCTGGGGTGGGGAATGCACAGGCAGGGCTCAGGGGGTGGAGGAGGAGCGGGGAGGAGGGGGGCCGGGGTCCTCCAGGGCTGCCTCAGACGACCCGGGGCTCCATGTGGGGTGCATGTAAAGTCAAGGGTGCAGCAGGCTGCTCAGGCCGGGGCTACCTTGGGGCACAAACCTCAGGGTGAGAGGGCATCGCACATGGAGCCTGCAGGTTAGGTGCACGGTGTCCCCGTGTTCCTTCTCCTCTCCCTTTTGCTCCTTCTGCCCCGCCCTGCCCTGGGGTGCAGAGGCCCAGCAACCTCTGACAAAGGCTCCAGCCCGAGCAGCAGGAGGCGCCACCTGCAGCGGCCTCCCCAGCAGGCCAGTGACGGCTCTTCTCTGCCTCCCTGCCACCCGCTCAGACTCAGGCACCATCTCTGGGGGAGACTGGCCAGCCCCGCCCGCCGCTGTCACCTCTGCCAGCACACGCAGCTAGCTACCAGGGCGCCAGGACCCAGCGTCTGCCGGAAGCCAGGCCCGTTCACTCCCAGCTCCGAAGCAGCATCTAACCGCGTCTCTAACACGTCTGCTGCTTCAACACTTTCCTCCACTCAGCCGTGTCAACACCTGGAGAACAGCGCTCGCCTTGGCTGGAGGCGGCTGGCCTGTGTCCCTGGGGGTGTCCGGCCTGGACAAGAGCAGCTGCCCGCTGGCTCCTGTGGGCACGGGCTGCCAGGAGCCCCGGCTGTGAAAGGCACCGCGTACTGGGGCAGCTCCAGAGCGCATTCCCCGGGGTCGCTGCTGCTCATGGCTGCTGGCTCAGCTGTTTGCCCTGGGGACCACCAAACGGTTGGGAGGTTGTAAGCCTCTCTCCAGTGGAAAGAGGGACAGAGAGGACAGGCCTGTGCCTCCCCACTCCTCCTCCAAACACACAGCCCCAGGCTGCACCCCAGCGGGGGTTACACACCCTGCTCCAAAACCCAGGCCAGCAGAGCCCAAGACCCCGGAGGAGCCCAGGGACACCCTGGACCGGGGGACACAGCAGAAATCCTGCCACTTGCAGGAACATGGCTGGGTCAGAATCGCATGATTTCAGGGTAATTTTTAGATGAAATTCCTGGGACTTTTCACGGTGACATTCAGACTGGAGGAATTTTAGGAGTGCTAACCACAGATCACGCAAGAGGAAAGAAAAAGAATTAGAATCTCGAAAGGGGAAAAACCTGGGCAACAAACCACGCTGAGTACCCCGAGGGGCTGGGTGGCGAGCAGTCCCCGCACAGCTGTGCAATGCAGACACAGTCTGCTGTTTTTAACTTGCTGAATCCTGCACAGGCGATAGGGACTCAAGGATGCATCGTGGGGCCAGCCCCGAGAGCTGGTGTGCGCAGCTTTCCCGAGCCTTCCTCACCGCGCCTCTGCAGAGTAGGAAGGCGCTCAGCCGGCTGCCTGGCCGGGTAGGGGCGCTGCGTGCTGCCGGGGTGGGCTGGGGGGCTCAGGGGTGTGCTTTCAGTCTGAGGATCCTAGATCCTCGCTGGGCTCCGTGCTCAGGTGCTGGCAGCTTGCACGGAGACTAACTGAACCCCTGCTGGCTGGAGGTGCCATTCACACATCGCCTAACAGGATTAAAAGAGACCCCGTGAGCCAAGGCTCAGATGTAGTAAACACGGCGTAATTAGCAGCTATTGTTACCTTCTAAACAAAGAAGGGGAGGCAATTGCAGTCTACTTCCTCTGGGAACCGTAGGAAAGATAGACTCGGAGCACAGGTCGTCACAAACCCCGGATCAAAGCACAGCGCTCACGCTGTGACCACGCCCAGGGGCGGGGCTTGGGCGGGGCCTCAAGGACCGCCTCTGACCTGAGAACGCGCCTACTGGCTGCTGCGGCCTGCAGACCGCGGGAGAGGGCACAGCTCCACCCGCTGGGGGCCGATGAGACCGGAGACCAGCCTCACAGCTGCACCCACAGCTGCACCGGACCCCGGAGGGCCGGCCTCCCTCCCCGATTCCCATCCCCACCCCAACGCGGAGCTCCCCGGCACACTGCGTGGTGGGTGAAGAGCTAATCTCGAAATGAAGGGGTTGTTTGTGCCTAGCAAAGTGAGGCCAGGCCAAGGCAATTCGTGAGGCGGGGCTCAGGCCCCAGAAGAGCAGGGGCCTCCTCAGGTAATTAGCCCGTGCACAGCTGAACAGTTCCACCCTTCACGTGGGCACTGGCGACTCAAAATTGCGGTGGTCAAAGCTCCACGCACAAACGGATCTTGCACCAAGCCTTGTTCTTGGTTTGCAAATTGTGTCACTGTTCGTAAGACAAACCGAGTCTGGTCACATTCTTTTCTTTAGCCACATCATCCCATCGCCAGCCCAGTGGCATCTGGGGGCACCCCATGCTTGGAGAGCATGCCAAGAGCTGTGCGTGCGCGGCTCAGGCCTCCCTCTGCAGACGGCAACCAGGGCCGTGCAGCCCTCTGGACGCCTGGCCCCGGCTGCTCCTCGCCACGGGAATCCAGCCTTGACGTGAGCACTGGCAGATGCTCGGGGAGGGACACAGAGCCCAGGATGTCACCAGGGCAGGCTCTCCTTCCAGCTGCTGTCCCAGAGGACTGTCAGGCTTCCTCACAGTGTGACTGTCGCTCCCTCCCAGCATGGACTCTTGTGATGCCCATTTTAGGGCAGTGACCATGTCTTCTGGCCTGGCAGCTCCTATACCAGGAAGTGGCCTCAAGGGGGCAGTGTACCACTGGGGAACATAGGTGTGACCCAGGGTGATGTCCAAGTCCCTCTGTGCATCCCTAGCTCCTTGCCTGTCTCCCTAAGGACCTCAGGGTACACCTGGCACCTGTGCGCCTGTTATCTTGGGGTCCTAGGGGGAGGGAATGAAAGAGGAGGAGAGGGCCAAGGTCACCCCCAGGCATCTCGTAAGGAGACCAACTCTCCCTCCACCGCCACTCCCTCCCCCAGTGACTGGACGTCCACCAGTCACTGCCCACACCCACTGAGTGTCACCAGCAAAGAGATCTCCTCTCCTGGCTACAGCAGGCTCTCGGTGAAGATCAATGAACGAACCAAGGAATGAAAGAATGAGCAAATGCCCAGGGGTCTGAGCGACTCAGGTCAGAGCCTGCTGGTCCCCAGTACCCCACCCCTCCTCAGGTGGCAGCACCCCAATTCCTTCTGGGAGGCCACCCCTGGGCTACTACGTGTTGACTATGCTGTTCAGGCACAATTACACTTCGAGAACACGTTTACAAAATAGCAAACTGATAGGTATTCATGATGCAAATTAGGAGCAATTAGAGGCCCCAGCAAGTCTCTGCTGAGTTCAATTAACCTTGACAGGGTCTGAAGCCCGCAGCAGATTCTGAGGAGCCCAGGCAGAGTAACTGTCCGTACCTTAAGGCACCCCAGGCCGGCCCAGGACTCCCCTAACATACAGGCCCTCCTCTCCTGGTTCCCAGAATGTTTCTGTGTCACCATAAAAAGTCCTTTTTCCAAGACCAGCCTGCCTGCCTGTGCTTGTCTCCAATTATGTGACTTTGTCAATCACTTTGAACTTCTGCTCCTAAATGCTGTGTAAACCGAGCTGTCAGCAAACCCGGGCTTGCGGCCTGAGAGGAACAATCCCACAGCTCAGCTGCTGTGCAGATTAAAGCTGCCTTTTTCTACGATGACAATATGTAATCTATTAGCTAGTGATTTCTTACTGTATATTTTTTTTTCTTGAAATTCTGTGTTACTTGTACCCTTTTACTGCTTTGGGTTTTTTTTCTTTTTTCTCTCTTTAAATTAAAAAAAAGGTGAAAAAAAAAAAAGCTGCCTTCTTAACCCCAGTTTGACTCGGGAGTTTTCCTGCAACATCTGGGCATCAGCCAGGAAAACACCTTGCTGACCGATTAGGTCACTGGTGTGGGCCCCGCTGGCCGCGGCTTGGGCTCACCCCTGTCTGACGATGAGAAGGGGTGCCCTTGACTTTGCCTCATCTCACCAGGGAGAAGTCAGAATGTGACTTGGGCCCGGCCCGCCCATAAGGTAGGTCTGCCCCGGTTTTATCCCACAAAAGGGTTTTTGGTTACTTTTCTCTCATTGCTGAGACAAAATACCTGACACCCAAACTGAAGGAAGGAAAGGAAGGGTTTGTTTAGCTCACAGTGTGTGGAGGTTTCAGTCCACAGTCCGCCGGCTCCTAGGCAGGGTGGCACAGCACAGGGCAACAGTGCAGGGCGGCAGCAGACAGCAAAGCAAGGGCAAAAGGGGCTGAGCAAGCGCCTTCTCCTCCCTTACACTGCAAGCAGGCGATGCCCCTGGGCGGGTGCAGCTCTCACACCATCCGAGGGCCCTCCTCCTGCACAGGTTGAGGATCTTTACAAAGTGAGCACCCTGGCCCCTGCTGAATGGGTTAAATTTCTGACCTTCTCAAACTGGCACATGAACAGCACCTAGAGTGCTAAGGCTGGTCCGCTGCACCCCAGCTGGAGAGCGGCTGGGTCACTGAGCTTCCGGACCTCTCAGACTGACACAGTGTGTGAACCATGACACCAGGCAGCCAGCTCGTGCTCCCTACTGTGGGCAAAGGAGGAATTTACCACTCCTCAACCACGCTGGCCACCTGTTTCAGTTCTGATTTCTGGAATCACCTGTTCCACGCCCAGCTTCTGGTCTGGACAGCAGTTAACTGAAGCTGCTGCCCTAGTCAGATCTGCCTGTGGGTCTGGGACAAGAACATGTTGACCTCTGCACCCTTGGGCATGACCCACAGCTGCTCAGACACTGCTGATGTGGTCAGACACCAGTGGAGGAAACAGGCCTGAGAACCTTATCCTCCCAGCCCAGCCCTCTCCAGGTGCAGCCCCTCACTGGCCCCCTGATCCAAAAGCAAAGTCAGTGTGTCACAGTTCCCTGCGTGGAGCCCACGTCTCCCCCAAATGCTCCCCTGGATACCCCGCCCCCAGGTCCATGGAGGGAGGTGAGCCCTGGCCTCGGCAGCCCCCTAGCTTCCGGCCAGTGCCAGCCGGGGAATCTCTGGACACATACTTGGTGAGGGCAGGTCGCAGCTATGCACAGGAGGGGCCTGAGAGCTGGTCTGGGAGGACATCGGGTCCTAAAGGGTTCTGTGGGAGGAGGAGACACAAGCTAACCCCAAGGCCGTCTCCAGAGGAGCTGCCCACGGCAAACAGGCTGCACCCCTGAGGAAAGGGCTGAGAGCCCCTGTTGAAGGCATACTGGGGCAGATCCCATGTGACAGGCAGGAGACCCCTGCTGACTCTGCCCAGCCCCCACCCAACACACCGTGAAGGCGAATTTTAACAGTTTGATAAACTTTAGTCACTGCCACATCTTCTGGGGAAGGAAGAAGAGAAATGAACTCTTGATTTGGGGAGGCTGGGAGCATCTCGGCAGAGGAACACACAGGAAGGTTGTGCCTCAGGTCCCCCAAACAGACCCTCTGATCTGAAAGACCTCCTATCGCCCAAGACCCCTCAGTAGGGTACACCAGAGTGACTCACACAGGAGAATTTGCCAGGGACTGAACAGGGCTGCAGCTCCAGGACGAGCTGCTCCACGGCCTTTGGGGAACAGCGTCCACATCCAGCCAGTGACAGTGCACTTGGCTCAGGCCCATCTCACCCCCAAGAAACCCACTGGGCATGTCCAGATGTGAGAACAGGAACTGGCTGGGAGCCAGGGTCCCACAGGGAACCCCAGAGCAGGACTGGCACCAGGCTGGGTGCTCTCAGGAGAGTCCTTGCCCTCTGGGGCCCCAGCGCTGCTGCACAAAGTGGACAGACACCACAGACCTCAGCTCAGCACAGAAGATGCTGCAGGAGTGCAGGGTGACAGGGGCGCCCAGGGAAGGCGGCTGAGAGCTCCAACACCCCAGCCCAGGCTGGGAGCTCTGGGGCCTTTCAAGCATCCTGTGTCTCTTGGGTGCAGATCTGGTTCTGTCCCATAACCCTGTGGGTCTCGAGCCATTGCCCCTCCTCATTTTAGCCCCCTGGCCTGGGTTCTGCTCACCACATGCAAACCTCGTGCCTAGTCCCAGGACCACGGAGCCCCCTGCCTGCTCACTCACCTAACCCAGCCCACAGCCCCACTGCTGCCTGGAATGTGGCAGCCCTAACAGGGGAAGGGGCACAGCCACAGTGGGCTCACAGCTCTCAAAGGAAAGGACAGCGTGGACGGCACCGCCGCTCCCACCACACACAGACACGCAATGTCTGTTTCAGCCCCAGAGTCTAACGAGTGAATGTATTACTCTAACTTTATTAAAGAAATCAGTTCCATTTCCAAGCTAATTGCCTCACAGACACCACCGTGTGGGGCCTGGCAACTACCAGATGCCTCTGATGTGTGGAAGGTGGGCAGCAGAGCACTCTCAGCTCCCCGCTCCTGCTGGGAAGGAGTGGAGACCCAGGGCAGGGGGCTTCCGGCTGGGAGCACCTGCCCGGCACAGGTGAGGCAGGTGCACAGGTGAGGCAGGAGAGGGCATCTCTTGGCAGGGCCTGAGATGCCCCACGACCCAGCCTATCATTGCCAATATGGACCCAGGGATGTGGTCTGACCGTAGCAAGGGCAGGGACCCCATCCTCAGCGCAGGGACCCAGCCAGTCCTCGCCTCTCCTGCCTGTTTCCTGCCCTTCCTCTGCAGACCTCTGAGGACCGCATGCCACCTCACTGGCTGCTGTTAAAGCTGCCACCCCCAATTGCCTACTGCAGTCCTGTGGTGAGGAGTCCTGAAGTCCCATGAGCACTGCAGCCAGACCTCTTGGTATGGCCCCTCTAATGTA